TCTACAACAGTGGCATCATGTAATATTTGTCCTTTTGTGACTGGGATATTTCACTCAGCATAATGTTCTCCAGAGCCAACCATTTTGAACAAAATCATCATCTCCAATGAAAAAACTGGTTTCATCCTCTCCAGGACGGACCTGTTTGTTCTCTTGGTGGCCCATGGTATGGTCACTACTCTTTCACAGCATCACAGCTCAAAGGCACTGATTCTTCTTCTTTCATCTTTATTCATTGTCCAACTTTCATATGGATTGATAGTCCTTATGTAATGCTGATGTATTTACTCATATTAGGATTTTTGAGACACAGACATGTGTTTTGGTTCAAACTCAAGAGGGAAAATTCCCTGAAATAAGTGGAAAGGCTGAAAAACTCACTGAGTTATGCTGAAAGACATTCATTTATTATTTTGAGGAAAAGTTACTTCCATGAAAATAAATAGTGCTGCTTCCAGAAGTGGTCATCTGGGTTCTACGCACTCAGAAATGGAAGATTTTAAACAGGGAGGGTGTGTTGTGTAATGATTCATGCTATCCTCCCAACATACCAATAAAGGACAAACAATGCCCCTGTGATGGAGAAAGGAGTCGAGTTACAGGATGCCAGCAAGGTCAGGACAAACAGTTTAAGGAGGACAAAAACTGTATTCTGGCCAGTTAATGGAAAAAGGGATAATAGCTTAGCCTAGAGTCAACCATTATATATGGCATTTGTACTCCCCATACAAGGTGCTTTTACTTTAATGACAAATTATTAATCCTTATGCTTTATACTTTCAAACCAATCACCCTTTAAACATATTAAAATATTACCCGTTTTGTAGCTATTTACAGTACTTAAGCTACTAATTGATCAAGGCTTGTGAATTTAAACAGTTAAACTTCTGCAAACATTGAAACAGATTATAAATATAAATAGTTGGACTTTTTCTTTTTTTAAAAAAAAAAAGTAAAACCACATGTCTACTACAATTCTAGAGGCAGAAAATAGGTTCTAGTGGTGGGTGAAGGTGACTTCAATTACCTGTGCTGGTGACCAGTCTTCTGTGTGTGTTTGCTAGAACTAGAAAAGTGCTTTTGATCCCCTCTCAAGACATTTCATTGACAACCATTTCTCACTTTTAAAATGCTAAATTCATTCTCATATAACTTATTCCCCTTGTATACTTTGCTGTTTTTACAGAATGTGGTTTCTTTGATCCCTAAGTATATAAATTAGGAAGAAAATTTGTCAAAGAAATGATCTCAAAATAAAATAAAATTAATTACGCTAGAAGGATATTTAATGCAACTAGTAATTTACAAATAGCAGCAGGGAAGTGCTATATCTTACTGTCATATGAGCATACAGAGAGATCTGTTATAGCTATCCTTACAATTCTAGCTCAGGTGTTCTGGCAGTGGTGGAGTGCTTTTGGGTGGTGGTAATTTAAAAAAAATAGTGAAAATATAGGAAATAAAAGAAAAATAGTATCTCTGATTCCTATTTTCTTCTTAATGTTTTTCTAATATTTACCCAAGTAGAATATACTGATTTTATGACTAGAATACATATTGTACAGCCATAAAGATATATTTTTCAAGACACAAGTTAGGCTACCAAGTGACATTCTCCTTCGGTTTTGATGCGCAGGTGTTCCCTATGGCACATACGTGCAATGACACAAACAAGATGAAGCTAATTAACCCCCAAGGACTGAAGCTCAATATTTACAAGCAGAAAGTCGAACAAGCAATTAAATCTTATGAAAAGTGAGTATTACTCCTGCCTACTGTTAAATAAATGTTAATTTTGTTTGCTTTCTCTTATTTTAGCTTGGAATTCTCATTTGCAGCATCTATTTAAAAATCACTCCCTTAGGAATAGCAACAGCAGCAGCTAGCAGTAATTTTAAAGAAACCATCTTACATTTCCAAAACCCATAGAACTTGTATATTTCCATGAGATCTTTGTAGCTTTCCTCTTAGCACACTGAATATGGACATTTTTCCATGTAACATTCAGTAAAGTGACTTGCACAGCTTCACAGTATATTGACATGTTAGATGTCATGTAAGTGCATATTATTATTTTAAAAATTAATAACAGCATCAAGATGATAACATTTGTTATTCTTGTTGTCGATTGCCTTCGAGTCAAACACAACTCATAGTTAACCTATGAACAAAATACCTGAAGCCTTTCTATATCTATTGCCATTTCTCAAAGTTCATAGATTTTTCAGAGGCATGTTGTTTAGGAAGTGGATGCTGCTCGAGCTTCCAAATCTGTCTTAATCTGGGAGCTCCACCAACCCCTGTTCACAATGGGTAACCATTATGGCATTTGACACCCCAGTGACACAAGGTTCAAATCACAGAAACCTCAGGTTACCTCAGTACAGCAAATTGACAGAAGTGTGTTCCTCCAAAATATAACAACCAACTTTTAAATATAAAGGCCCTCCACAAGGTCTTGTTGACTCTAAACAAGAGGCTTAAATAAAAAACAACCAATATGATATGTTGTTCTTATTGTTGTTATGTGCCATCGAGTTGCCTGCAACCCTGTGTACAGTAGCTCTGAACCCTTCTCTGTCCTGAGTCAATCTCACTAATTCTGACACACCAATCCCCATTGCCCCAGTTACTGGATCAATCTGGGATCTTCCTCTTGTGTGCTGTCTCTCCATCCTTCCAAGCATAATGTCATTCTTCAAGGACCGGACTCTCCTGGCCACGTGCCCAAAATATGTGAGACAGAGCTTCAAAATCCTAGCCTTCAAGGAGAAACTTGGTTTCACCCTCTCCAAGACAGACCTACTTGTTTTCTTGGCAGTCCATGGTATGTTAAGACTCTTCTCCACCACAACTTGAAGGCACGATTCTTCTTCTGTCATCCTTAGTCAATGTCCAGCTCTCTGAAGCATAACAAGTAATTGAGAAGACCATGGCCTGGATTAGGCATAGCTTAGTCTTTAGATTGATATCCTTACTTATCTTTCGATTTCCTGACTGATGTTGTTATCAGTGTTAATTGTGGAGTCCAGTAAGCTTTAATTTTTAATAACCTCAGTCTCTTCTCCATCTACAGTGGTGCTGCCAATTGGCTCAGTGGTGATAAATTGGCCCAGTTGTTAATATCATTGATTGCAGTGAATATGGAAATCTTAAATAGTCATTGGGTCATTGCCCATCCAAGAACCTTCTATTTGCAAAGGCAGAAAAGCCAGTCTTCATTCTTGAAGAAAGATCTAATTCCTACTCTAACTTGTCCTCAACCTATAATTAATCCTTGGTTTACAGCACTTACATGACTTAAATAATTCTTTTTTTTGTTTTATTTTTTTTTCTTAATGCACACTACTTAATCAACTGTGCCCACCTTCTTCAGGTTAAGTCCATTTTTGGTTTCTGAAGTTGTGCAAGTGGGTTTGTTTCATCTATCACCTTGTAGTTGGGTAAACTGAAAAAAGTGCATGAAAGTTAATATATTTCAGGAAAACTGTTACTGATCTGTTATGATTTTGCAGCCAGAGGGCTCTTTTGAGGCAAAGATGGTGAGACTTTGCCTCACATACTTTGGACGTGTTGCTAGGACGTGTTCTTTGGAGAGAGACATAATGCTTGGAAGCGTGGAGTGTTTGTGAAGGAGAGGAAGACCCTCAACCAGATGATTTGGCATAGTGACTCCCGCAGTGGACTCTAGTGTGTCAGGAAATGTGAAGATGCCACAAGATAGGACAGGGTTCAGATCTGTTGTCCATAGAGTCACTATTAGTTTTTTTTGTTGTTTTTTTTTTAAATTTTTTTTTTTCGTTTTCTTTTATTGGGAAAAACATATTGGGGGTACAAGGAGGTGAGGGTTGGGGGCAGAAGGGTGAGGATGGGCAGGGATGCAGTTTCAGAGCTGCACAGTTTGGTCGGTGGGGGGAGCAGGTGAAGAAAATGATGAGGGTCCAGTGGGGACCAGATGCTACAGAGGAATGACAAGCATTTTCCAATGGTAATTAAACCAACTGTCTTATTGATTTGGGAATTGGATGCCGACTCTCTGGCTTCTTCATGCTGAACAGGGGCGTAGATGTAAAGGGGGGTAAGGGAGGACACTTTATCACCTTACTGGTGGTCTTGGGTTACAGCTGCTTGCCTTCTTGCTCTGTTAGAAGATATTTCCCCATTCCTTCTTGGGAATCCTTGAATTCCTGTTGTTGAGCCTCGATCTTCACTGAGGGCCAGTCATCAACTGTTTAAGTGTTCAATTATCAATAAGCCGAAGTCTGTGGAAGGCCATAATGGCCCTGCTTTAAGTGGTTCACTGCTCCCACAGCTCACCACGCTGTCTTTGCCTCCGCCGCCATCTTGGATCCTCCCAACCTGTTCTGCCAGCCCTGGAGGAGGTTGGTGTACTTGCTGAGCACGCCCTCGAGCGCCGGCTCCCTCCGGCGGCCGCCTCGGGCTAGCGGCCACGGAGCCCGGGCTGCTGCGGCTGCCTCCGCCACCCAGGCCGGCAGCCGGCGAGCGGCTGGAGACCCCCCGGGCCGCCAGCGAGCAGGAGGGTGACGAGCCAGCCGAGGTGGCGCGGCTGCTGCTGCGGCTGCTGCTGTTGCTGCCGCCGCCGTCCGCGCCCGGGCCCGTCCGCTCCATGGTCCGTGCGCGCCCTGGGCGCGGGTGCCTGCGGTGGTGGCCCCGGCGCTGGGGCAAGCGGTGCGGCCGCTCCGGCTACGGCTCAGGCGCCCGGGCCGCGCGGCTGCTCCAGCTCCCGGGAAACGCCTGACTCGTCACTATTAGTTTTATTCGACTCAACGATACCTAACAGCAACAACTAGTGAGTTTTCAGGCCTGATTCCTCCCCACAATCTAATTGACTTCTACAGTGTTAAAACAGGCATTTCCCTGATAGGTTTATGACACATCTCTCCAAATATACCAACACTTTAGCCTCTTTCACTTCCTTCACATAAAAACTGAGGCTAATTTATAGGAACTTCTCAGCTGCCTCTATCTGCTCCTCAATATTTTTCTGACTCTTTATCTGAACCAGCAAGGGCAAACTATTTTAAGCCTTATGCTCTCTTGTGGTCTGAGATTTTGTTAGGTGGGTTAACCTCTCATACTTTTTCACCCTCTTTGTCTCTTCTCCTGTTCCAGAGGATACTTTTCTTGCTTTTAAGTTTTCCTCTGCCTTTTCTTATTCTCCTCCATCTAGCCTTTTTCATTACATTCTTACCTCAATACCACTGGCCTTCATAGAGAATCTTTTCCCAGTCATTCTCCTTCTCTTCACCCTAGAAGAAGGCACTCACAATGTCTGTGCAAGTCTACAGCTTGTTGATTGTCTTACCCTGCCAGGGGTCTGGTCAACCATGTTTCTCCTTTCTCCTGCATTACATTTGAAATGTAAACCAAAATGAGGAGAAATAGCTGAAAACATCTAATAATTATTGCTATGTGAAATGTACAAAATAATAATCTTGAATAATGTTGTGAATTGTTAAAAACTAGATGAAAAGCATAAGATTGACATCATAGGCATCAACGAGGTGAGATGAACTGATATTTATCAAAACAATTTTGAATCAAAACAATCACATGATTTACTTTGCTGGAAATGATAAATTGAAGAATAATGGTGTGACATTCATCATCAAAAAGAGCATATCAAGATCTATCCTGAAATACAATGTTGTGTGTGATAGGAGATTAACCACACTCATACAAGGAAGTCCTGTTAATACAACCATTATTCAAATATATGCACCAACCACTAAAGAAAAAAATGAAGACATTGAGCATTTCTACCAATAATAGATCTGAAATTGATTGAATATGAAATGATGATGCATTAATATAGCAAATCATAAACTGAGATACTTGAGAATAAACCCAATTAAAGACACAAAGGATTTTTATAAAGAAAACTACAAAACACTAATGTGAAAAACAAAAGACTTAAGTAAATGATGATTTATATCCTGTTCATGGATAGGAAGACTCAATATAGTGAAAATGACAATCTGGCCAAAAGCAAACGATATATTTTACACAATCTCAATACAGATACTAAATTTATTTTACAAGAGATAGGAAAGGCAATTGGCAAGTTGATTTGGAAAGGAAAGAGACCTCAAATAAGCAAAGCACTTCTTAAAAACAAAAAAACAAAGTGGAGGCATAGCATCTCTAATCTCAAAACCTACTATACAGCTATAATAACCAAAATAGCATGGTACTGGTACAATGACAGACACATAGACCAATGGAACAGAATTGAGAATGTAGAAATTAACCCATCTACCTATGGTCAACTGTTATTTAACAAGGAAACAAAATCTATTAAATGGGGAAATGATAACCTCTTCAACAAATAGTGCTGGAAAATGGATCTTCTACCTGCAAATGCAGGATTCACATTTCACATTGTACACAAAAATTAACTCAAGGTGGTTCAGAGGTCTAGGGATAAAGAACCATACCATAAAGATCATAAGAGAGAAAATGTAGAAATAGACTGGCAAACAAAGCAAGAAATGCACAATCAAGAGAAGATAGCATTGATGACTGGAACTAAGTCCCTGTATGCATAAAAAACTTTTTTCCAATAAGGTTAAAAGGAAACCTTCTGAATTGGGGGATGGGTTGGTAAACCAAAACATTTTGTAATGCCATCTCAAACAAGGATCTCCTGACCAAAGTTTACCGAATACTACAGGGCCTCCACAAGAAAAAAACTCAATTACAAAATGGGCAAAAGGCATGGAAAGACTTTTCAC